CACAAACAGACATCCACAAACAGACATCCACAAACAGACATCCACAGACATCCACAAACAGACATCCACAGGCAGACATCCACTAACAGACATCCACAAACAGACATCCACACATCCACAAACAGACATCCACACATCCACAAACAGACATCCACAAACAGACATCCACACATCCACAAACAGACATCCACAAACAGACATCCACAAACAGACATCCACAGATCCACAGACATCCACAGATCCACAGACATCCACAGACATCCACACATCCACAAACAGACATCCACACATCCACAAACCCACAAACAGACATCCACAAACAGACATCCACAAACAGACATCCACACATCCACAGACATCCACACATCCACAAACCCACAAACAGATATCAACAAACAGACATCCACAAACAGACATCCACAAACAGACATCCACACATCCACAAACAGACATCCACAAACAGACATCCACACATCCACAAACAGACATCCACAAACAGACATCCACACATCCACAAACAGACATCCACAAACAGACATCCACACATCCACAAACAGACATCCACACATCCAGAAACCCACAGACATCCACAAACAGACATCCACAGACATCCACAAACAGACATCCACACATCCACAAACAGACATCCACAAATAGACATCCACAAACAGACATCCACATATCCACAAACAGACATCCACACATCCACAAACAGACATCCACACATCCACAAACAGACATCCACACATCCACAAACAGACATCCACACATCCACAAACAGACATCCACACATACACAGACATCCACACATACACAGACATCCACACATCCACAGACATCCACACATCCACAAACAGACATCCACACATACACAGACATCCACACATACACAGACATACACAGACATCCACACATCCACAAACAGACATCCACATATCCACAAACAGACATCCACACATCCACAAACAGACATCCACATCCACACATCCACAAACAGACATCCACACATCCACAAACAGACATCCACATCCACACATCCACAAACAGACATCCACACAGCCACAAACAGACATCCACACATACACAGACATCCACAGACATCCACAAACAGACATCCACACATCCACACATCCACAAACAGACATCCACATCCACACATCCACAAACAGACATACATATATACAAATTAATAATAATATTAAAAAAATTAACATTTCCCACCCACCCAGCATCCCTACCTTTCCCTGGGGTCCAGTGGGGCTGCAGTGAGGACGGCTCTCTCCCTGTCACACGCGGAGAGGGAGCTCTGTGCTCTCTGCTCCCTCTCGCCGCGCGGGATGTCTGCTGATGCCGGGAGCCGGAATATGACGTCATCAACCCGGCTCCCAGCAACAGCAGACATCCCGCGCGGCGAGTGGGAGCAGAGAGCACACAGCTCCCTCTCCGCGTGTGACAGGAAGAGAGCCGTTCACCGGGGGGC